TATCTATCTATCTATCTATCTATCATGGTTGAAGATATCAAACCCCTGAGAAGTCAAGTAGAGCAAGGATGGATATACTACCTCCATCCCACCCATGCCAGAGGTCATCCAAAAGCATGAGCCATGCCTTTCCCATCCTACAGCCAGCTCTGAATCCTGGCTGAAGAGGATCCAGATAATCTGCTTCCTCCCAGGCCCTCTAAAGTGTTGCACAACCTTTTCCCCTACCACCTTCCCCTCAAAAGAGAAGTGAGATCTTGTATGTAAATTGTCTAGTGTGCTGGGATCCAGTGATGGCTTCTTGAGGAGGGGACAAACATGGCCTCTTTAAGAGGTAAAGGAAAAACCCCCTCCTTCAAAGAAGAAATAATCACCACAAGAACCCATTCACACAACATCTCCCTGAGCCACTTTAATAAGCCAGGAGAGGCATGGATCTAAAGATCAAGTGGCTGAGCTTACAGAATACTGAGGAGTCTGTCCATCCTTTGTTGCTAGTTCATATGAATTCTGCTGGACTAGGTGGACTAAAAATCTCACTCTGTATAAAGCACCTTCCCAGCATTCAATACACTTGTGTCTTAGTCAACTCAAAATGTTTTAACTTTTGTGCTGATTCTATCCTAGCACCACGTGCAGCAGACGGGAGAATTGTGGGGATGTTCTCACAAGCCTTTTTAGCTGTTCTGCTCTGCATGACTGTGGTCCCTCTCTATGCTCAAAATGATGAAGGAACTTCCTGTGCAGGTAAAAAAACATTGTTTCTCAATTTACTTCAGTTCTTTCTTTATGCTTTTTCCTTCTGTCATGCCTTCTGAAAATATGTAAAACTGTAATAGTTTAATAGAAGAAATAATTAAAAATCTTATAGCGAAGATTACTGATACGTTCTATTATTACAATCCATGTCCAAAATCATACATCTGAATATCTAGGATTCTTCAGTGTTTTGAATCTGAAGGCAAAACGGTATTATCAATCATAGAGTGCACTCATATATCTCTAATTCCTTAAAGCAGCTACATTTTTTCTAGAATTCTGTAACTGTCATTTGCGGGCAGCCACAAAACCCCAGTGAAAATGATACACACACACACACGTTTCCTTTAGCTGAAGCTTATGCATTTGTATTATTTGACTCCTCTTTAAAAGATGGAAAAATTCAGAAAAGCACAAGCAAAATGATCAGAGTTCCAATATCTGAGGTGCTGTCACAAGGGAGAGGGAGTCAAGCTATTCTCCAAAGCACCTGAAGGCAAGACAAGAAGAAATGGATGGAAACTAATCAAGGAGAGAAGCAACCCAGAACTAAGGAGAAACTTCCTGACAGTTAGAACAATTAATCAGTGGAACCGCTTGTCTTCAGAGGTTGTGGGTGCTCCAACACTGAAGGTTTTTAAGAAGAGTTTGGATAACAGGGTATAGGGTTTCCAGTTTGAGCAGGGGATTGGATAGAGGACCTCCAAGGTCCCTTCCAACTCTGTTATTCTGTAAGTCATTTGATAATTTCCCTATACAGAGAGTTATTTCTGAATTTGAGAAAAAAGATTTCCCCATGAAGAGAGTTGTTTCTTAATTTGGGGAAAAATATAAAAATAAATATTACTAAAAAAAAAACCAAGTGATTTTTTTCTTTCTCCCTCCCTTGTAGTACTAGAACTGAATACCATTCAGCAAATGGATTAGCACCAAGTGGTTTGGTGGGTTTCTGAAAAGTTATGGAAGGATAAGCTACCTACACAGACTTTCCAACCTGAGAGTCATTGTACCTTTGGATTATTGTGACTTGGCAGAAGTGATAAAAAGAGGGATGAGAGCAAAGGGGGGATGCTGATGGAAAAGGGATGTTTGCCTCCTTGCAGTGCCTCAGGCATAGGCCAGAGACTTGGGACAGCAACCCAGAAAATAGTCTTGTGTCCAGTGGGGATCAATTTGAGATATTCTTCATGCTGCACTGAATTCCATCATTCAGAAGGAAACATGAGATAAATGTTTCATTTCTTAGTTTTATAAATTCATGAAAACCATTTTGGCAACAAGATCTTGATAAATAGTGAACATCGGACCCGGATACCTTCGAGACCGCCTCCTGCCGCAGACTACCTCCCATCGACCTGTACGCTCCCACAGAGTGGGTCTCCTCAGGGTGCCGTCGGCCAGACAGTGCCGGCTGGCGACCCCAAGGGGGAGGGCCTTCTCTGTGGGAGCTCCCACCCTCTGGAATGAACTGCCCCCAGAGATCAGGGTCATCCCTGATNTCCAGCTTGCAGGACTGGCCTAGGGTAATTTTTAGAGGGGTTTTAATTACATTTTAATTGGACAAATGTTTAAATATTTCTTTTAATTAATTTTAAATTTGTATTGTTATTTATGTATTTTAACTGATTGTCAGCCGCCCTGAGTCCGCGAGGAGAAGGGCGGGATATAAATCCAAATATAAATAAATAAATAAATAAACTGTAGGCAATACAGTTAATCCTCAACTTACAACAGTTTGTTTAGTGACCATTCAAAGTTACAACAGCAATGGAAAAAGTGACTTAGGACCATTTTTCACACTTACAACCATTTATGGTGCTCGCTGTCTGAGTTTAGACTAGCCTCTTTAGTTTAAGGGATACATGTTCCAAGTGGAAATAAATAAGGCTCATGCAATATTCTAGATCTTACATATTGATGCTAACTCTGTAATGGAGATCAGAATGATAACCTTTTCTTGGAGAATGTGGCCTGGGGAAAAGGGAGGGAGAGACCTCATGTCTTCATGAAGCTGTAAGAGTCAATTCAGGAGCTGATCCTTAACCATGGGAATGAAATCAACACAAATTCCAAGGGCCTCATCCCCCAGGAACACCTGGCAAGCCTCTAGATGTGAATTTACCTAGTCTCCTTACCCCATTCTTTCTCCTTTTCTCTTTATGCAGATAAAACTGAGTGTCCCATCACGGTGTACTTTGTCATTGATACATCTGAGAGCATTGCCCTTCAGACTGACCCTATTGAGAGTTTAGTGAACCATAGCAAGAAGTTTGTTGCTCAGTTTGTCAATAAGCTGGCCAATGAAGTCTACCAACAACAAATTTCCATAAATTGGCAAATTGGAGGACTTCATTTTTCAGATATAGTGGTGATCTTTAGTCCTATAACCCAAGACAAGGTGATATTCAATGATCGGTTGGAAAAAATCCGTTACATTGGTCGGGGCACTTTCACAGATTGTGCTCTCTCCAACATGACGGCTCAGATGCCGCTCAATTCGCTGGGGGCGAATTATGCTGTTGTGATCACTGATGGCCACGTGACAGGAAATCCCTGTGGAGGGATGAAACATCAAGCTGATCGAGCACGAGATGCAGGGATCAAGCTCTTTGCGGTGGCCCCCAGCCAGAAAATCTATGAGCAAGGTCTCCAGGAAATTGCTAGCCTTCCACATGAGCTTTTCCGGAACAATTATGCCACCCTAAAGAAAGGCAGTGTTGATGAAGATACTGAGACCATGGATAAGATCATTCAAGTTATGGTAAGAATTGATATCTTAAGAATTGTGTTAGAACATTGCTTTACTGGATCATTTAGTAGACTGACTGTCTACTAAGGTGGAAGCTGCAAGATATCTTAAGAATTGTGTTAGAACATTGCTTTACTGGATCATTTAGTAGACTGACTGTCTACTAAGGTGGAAGCTGCAAGATATGATTTTGTGAAAACCAGCACTAATTGGCCTAATTTGCATGAAAATACTTCAGGCCATCATTTGAAACAAAATATTTTAGAGAAGAAATGAACAGGAACAACCCCAAGAGAGATTATTCCTGTTCCTGCTATCTGAAAAGACCACTAAGGATGCATTTCCTATGCAGAATTCCAGGTTCTGCTCCAGAATTTAAGATGACGCTTGACTTTGTTTTTAGATAATACCAAAAAATAAATAAATAATGGAGTAGCCACCCAGGATTTTGTGCATCAACTCTGCCCAAAATTTATTTTGTTTTTCCAAACTTTGGCTATAATCACCTTGAGGAAAAAGAACAGGTAGCTCTCCCTGCTTCTCAGAAGTAGAAGAAATGGCATTTCAAGTATTTATAATGTTGGATGAAAGCCACTGCTATCTTGGTTTCAACATGTTCATCCTGGTTCTTCCCAGATCTGTGATTCTAGTAATAGTGCTTGTTGTTCCTAGGCTGTTTCCAAATAATTGAGACCAATAGGTCGAATATTATGCAGAATTTTTACCAAAATAAAGATTTATTGTCTGATTATTATGCATCACTTTCAGCAATCTTATACGTACACGCTATAACGTGTATATGGAGAGAATGCTTGGTTGCTTTACTTTCCAATAGATACCAGTAGATTTTTAACCTGTTTTGAAAGCATCATATGGATTTATACTGTTGCCATGTTTATTGATGTCTTCCAATTGCTCTTTTCTTCCCCTAAACTTCCTGCCTCCAGCACTATAGGAAAGATTTTGCTTAACAAATGGGTTCTTTCTTGCTTTAGAACAGTCACACCTTAGAAGCCTTCTAAGGCCACCAGCTTTGTTCTTGTATGAGAACTAAGTCATGTGGCCAGGTTCTGCCAAATGGAATAAAAAGTGGGCTTTCCTCTTTCCCTGTTAGGAATATTTCTAGTATTATGGATTAATTTTACTGCAAAAGCATCTCATGAAGGGAGACCTCACTTCCATTGAAAGTGATCCAGTTTGGGCAGTTCAATTGGAACTAGAACCAGAACTCGTCAACAGATTGGGAAAAATTCAAAGCATCTTTTCTGCACTGAAATCACATTTCTTGGAATCTAGTATTCAATTTTTTAAAAATTACAGAACAGAAGCCAATCATATACTCCTTAGTATTTATCTTTTTATATTTTTATAGCTGGGTATGATACTCTCTTCTGATGTCTGTAGAATTGGAGAAAGGTTCTTCACAGCACTAGCACTAGAATAGAGAGAGAATTAACAGAAGGATAGTTAGCCTCACACAGATCTAAATATCCACTTTTTAATATTTAAATAGATGTGAGGAAATAATACTAGATATTGCTATAAACCTGTGCAAAGTTAAAATAATGAAAATAAATTAATCAATTTATACCTAACACAATGTATAGCATTATGAGCATCCTTAATTTGATACCACCAATTAGCCCAGTCTATTATGGGAACAATACAAATCAAGCAAAAGCACCTGCTAGGATTTAAGCATAGACACATAAGATTGGAAGGGACTCTGGAGGTCTTCTAGTCCAACCTTCTACCCATGGCAAGAATCCTCAAACCATCCCAGAAAATTAGCTATCCAGGCCTAGTTTGAAAATATCCAGTGATGGTGCATCTGCAGTTCTAAAAGTCAGGCTGCTCCACTCCTTAATAGCTCTCACTGGCAGGAAATTCCTCCTTATTTCAAGTTTGGATCTCTCTCTGAAAAGTTTATACCATTCAGTCCTTGGATACTGCGAAGAACAAATCTACCAACTTTTCCTTGTGAGAGTCCTTCAGCTATTGAAACACTGTTATTATGCCTTTCCTTAGCCTTCTCTTATTTTAGGGTAATCGCGCACAGTTCTTCTAAATTCTTCATAATTTTAGCCTCTAAGCCTCTCACCACCTTTCTTGCTGTTCTCTGCACTCTTTCCACATCCTCAGCCTCCTTCTTGCACTATGATGACCAAAACTGGATTCAGTGCTCCAAATGTTGAAGAGCAGTTGGCTTAGGACAGAACACTGAATCGCTCCCCTGCATGCCTCCCTCCCCTGTAGAAATAGATCCATTAAGGACTAGGAGTTGAAGAGGGTTTTCAACGAATTGCAAAGCCATCTGGTAGTGGGACTGTCCTTCTGACATTGTTCATTTTATCAAGTAGCAAGTTGTGGTCAACATTAAGTAAGTAACTTACTTAAAATTTAGGTACAGTATATTATATCCATAGCATTCCCAATTACCCTAGTACTGTAGTGTATTTCCTGGGCATCTCAGCTATTTGTTTGACAAACATTTTATCTATAGCTTCTGCCTGATGGGTTGGCCTGTCCCAGTATCATCGTTTCTTTTCCCCTTAGTATTAACTCAGATGCTTTCAGAAGACTTTTTATCCTTGGTATCATAAACTTCCATATAGTAAAGCTTTATCAATAATTTGACTTCCCTTTTGTTGAGTCTGCTTCCTTTGAACAAATTATAACCTTCCAGTTCTATATTGCATTCATAAGTCCCATTCCATCAAGAGTAAGAGCAATGTCATATTTGCCCCCTGCTCTTTACTAGGATTTTAATTTCTCCCTGTTTGTTTCCATACTCTGCACACTACTGTACAGATATCTGAGCCCTTTAGCATTGCAATGCATAATCTGCCACAGAAGAAAAGCCCAGGATCAAACTGGAACTTCTTCCATAAAATTATGTCTTCTTTATTTTCTCTGCTTCTAAAATCCACTGTTTTGGAAGCATTAAGATTTCCATGTCAAAGGCAAAATGAAGAATCTGAAGCCTGAGGTTTGATTGCAATTAGGATTGAGCAGAACAAACAGAGTTAAGCAGAACACCAGCCATTATTGCTAAAATAGCTCTACTCAACCTGTTGCTCTTGATAATTCAAGAATTCTCACCAACCATAAAATCTGCATATCTTCTTTAAATTGGGGTAAGAAAAACCTATGTTTGCATGGAGTACATTGGTGGAATATGCTTAGCCATACAGATTCAAAAGAAAGCTGTACTGGTTTCTTTTTTCAGTTTTATAATTAAGTTTCTTTTCTTTTTGTTCATTCCCTAACAGAAACATGATGCCTTTGCAAAGGTAAGCATACAATTGTTTCCATACAACAATATTATGAACAGGAACTTTTGGGAGTCATACACAGCTCCAGGTTTTGAATCACTGCCAACTGTGCATTCTGTTTAGAAGAAGACACCTTCTGACGCAACAAGGCTTCTTTCTCAGAAAATAAATTCTGGACTGAGTTGCAGCGTCATAGAAATCTATCCAGTCCAGGTTAATTCCTTTATGGATTTGTCTTCAGAAATATTAACAAAGGAATAGAGTACAAAATATACAGAAATTGTATTCTTTTTCCTATTTCAAAATCTTTAGAAAAGGATGTGCAATTCACATATCTAGAAGGCGACCCACAAGTGTGTGATATCAGATTAGACATCCTTCCTTCAAGAAATATTGTAAAAGGGGAGCAGAAAGTGGTTTTAGTGGAGTTATTTAAACATGGTGGTCCTCCTTTTAAATATAACTTTGCCCCACAGCTCCAAGATATCCGTGCAGAAGAGGAACAGAAACAATATAATTCATTATGAAATCTTCACCTATATTTTCTTTTCCTTTTAGTGTTATAAAATGAGCTGCCTTGAAATTCAAGGTCCGCGTGGCCCAAAGGGATTTCAAGGACAAAAGGTAAAGCTATAAGGGCAAAAGGGACAATAAATATGTAAGAAGAAAGAACAGATTATACATCCCAAGGATTTCAACGGAAAACCCACATTAATGGCTTAAAAATACCAAAGATAGAATTTCAAGAGTGTGACTGTTATATATCCATGGGTTGTAGCTTTGGAGCAATGAAGTGAGGAAGTGGTGTAATGCTTCAGTATATACAATAATCACAGTTTATTAATAATTCAGAACAGTCACTTATCTTTAGATTATGCATGTACAGATTAACCTGAATTCTGTTTCCTAAAATCACAGGAAAAAATACATTTGGCTTTTTTTAAATATACATTTCCTTAACATCAGCATTTTTATGTGTTTATATATAACACAGTGTTATGTGTTATTTATATAACACAGATGTATGATTTTGTGTGCAACATTTCTGATTATATTTAATTTAATACTACTTCTTCTGATATTAATTTTTGCTTTTTGGGTTGTAGGGAAAGAGGATTAATAGACAAATATGTATAACAATCATTGTTCTAATATACAGCTTTCTGCAATATATGTTGTTCCACAAGTTTTATATGAAGTTCTTGAGCCAAGTACAATAGATTTGTGCCACAATTGATGGGTCAATTTATGCTCTTAAAGTGATTGTACCAGATTTTTACATTCATAATTTAGATCAAGGGTGTCAAACTGCTGGGCTGGATGCGTCATGCCAAAATTGCTGGGCTGGATGCGTCATGCCAAACTGCTGGGCTGGATGCGTCATGCCAAAATTGCGCCCACCCCATTGCAGGCAATGAAAAAAAAAGTTGCGATACGTCACGACACGTCACGTGACGTTGCGAGTTTGACACCCCTGATTTAGATACCGGTAGTTGCATAACTGAGAATTGCAGTCTATTCCCTATAAATCTACCTTCTCTACAGCTGCATAGTTCTCTATTATTTGAGGACAGGTTTGCTGTATTTAGAATATAAGCAATTCATTGGCAATTCAGCTTCTTACATATTTGCAAAGACCAGTATGTGAAGAAGCAAAAGTAAGTCTCATAGCCCTAGCCTAAAATCCTATATCCCCTTTTCTAGAACAAGTGACCTTGAACTTTGCTTCCAAAGGCTCACATCTTATCAATGGCATTCTATAAAAGCAATTAGAAATGCTCTTGCATTTCAATCTGCTGAAACATTTAAAGAACATCTGCTGAAACATTTAAAGAAGCTTAGGAAATTGGCCAGAAAATTTTGGGCTCACTCATAAAATAACAGTGAGCAAATGGAACCTTAGCAATTAGTGGTTCATTGATAGCAACAACTAGGTTCAGTATTCTCCTATTTTCAGGGTTTATCCCTTGAGTGAGTAGCAGTCATTGCTATCAATGTCTTAGTCCCTGGGTTTGGATAGGACAGTTTTGTAGGATGGACAAGAAGCATGGCATTGAATAATTTCTGAAGATACAATATGAAAAGCCAGAGCCAACAAGCCACATGGAATGATGTGTGAGCGTAGGAGCTGATTCAGCTTTTTGTGTTATGGGAAATCTCTGAACTAATTCATTTTTTTATTTTGCTTTTAGGGTGCGAAAGGAAACATGGGGATTTCAGGCTTTCCTGGACAAAAAGGACGTCAAGTAAGTAACTGGAAAAAGAGTGAATTCTAATAAGTACTATACAATTGCGGTTCCTTTGAACATGGAGTATAAAAGATCATATTGAATCAGACTCTCATCTACATGCCAGTTTTAGGATGGCATTTAATTCTAAAATTAGCTTATGATACTCAATCAGTGTCTGAATGCCTTTGAGAATGTTCAGTCAATATATTATTTTGGTCATAGGATTTTCAACTTGCTTTAATGAGAATTTATTTATTTATTTATATATTTGTTTATATAATCTGTGTACATTCATTTATCATGCTGCTCTAATCTCCTAATTCATAAAGGAAATCAAAAGCTTCCATTGATACAGATTCTCTCTCTTTTCTTCTTCTTTAATAATAGAAGCTGTAGTGGAATGCATCAGATTAGGTCCTCATTAGGGAGTCAAAGAATTAAAGCCCACTACAGCCATGCTGGGCAGGGCACATTCCAGATTAGGATTCTCCACACTGAAACACGCACTTTAAATAAGATTCATATGATTGTTTTTGAAGGTCCTTCTGGCGATGCTCCATGCTGAGAGTGGCTGACAGGGGAGAGAAAAGATCCTCACCCCTGTGTCATCCATCCTCTTGGTTTTTAGTCTCTATTTAATCTTTGCTGATTTTAATTTTTTTATGTTTCTGTTTATCATTTTGTAAGCCTCCCAGAGTCACTTCCACAGTGAAAGAGGCATGTTATTATATTGATGTCAACTTATGGTCTGTGCGCTCAAGCAGAACATTTCCACCCAATGCAAAAATATACCTGTCCTATATAGGGCAATATCAGTACTGATACTGAAGATATGTGTGTATTTATTTATATATTATATGTGCACATAGAAGGCAACTGGAATCTAATGAAGTGTGTGCATCCTCCACTCATTCATTAGCTTTCCATGCATACCTACCTTCTCTTAAGATCAGAATGAAGAATAGGCTTGACCCAGATGTTATACTGTAACTTGGTGTGACTTTCAGTGAATAAACCTTAGTCTCTCACACTTTATCATACATTGATTGATAATTCTGGCAATCAGAACTTGTGAATGGAAAGATGAGGGGAAAGTGTACATTTGACTCTCCAACTTGCTTAACAATACACCAGCTTAACAATACACCAGAACCAAGCCTATATCTTTTTTAGAATGTGTGAAAGCAATTTGTATAGTTTGTTCATGCTGCTTGCTTTCATTCCACACTGACCTCTAATAAAACATTTGATGTAGTCGAACGCAATGATAGGCAAAAGAAATATATTCATCACTCCTTATAAAAACTATAACACAGTTCTTTCATCTCTTTTAAAATATTTTTTGTATTCTCATCATATATGTTTATTCAGCCTAGAAGCAGAAACAATCACTAATATTTTACCATTGCCAATAATGTATTATTATCATCAGGGAAAGATTCTAAATGTAGCTGCCATAGGTTAATCATATTAAATTCACAAATAAATGTATCTATAATTGTAACAGTAATATAAATTAATAAAATTGGTGCAATTAATAATATTGCATAATGCAACTATTACCTTGTACAAATTAATGTAAGGTAATAAAAGTAATAAATTAATATGCATTATTGCCTGCCTAAGGTAAATGAACATGCTATGCAGATTATGTCAACTAATAATGGCATTTTCTTTTTACATATAGGGTGATCCAGGAATTGAAGGTCCAATTGGACACCCTGGACCTAAGGTAAATCATTTTGGGTCTCACTTTTAAGCATTTGTTCTTGTGCTTAGAACTTGACCAAGTAAGAGAGTTGAGAGAGACTTCCAGAGAGTTCCAGAGAGAGAGAGAGTTTGGGTTACCATAAGGATTTTTGTACAGTTTTTACAGCATTTTGTAATTCAGAGGCTCAGTTTGTGTGCTTTGGTTATTGGAATATTTTTGTCTGTATTTTAGGCTAGCAATGAGTCCAAAGTGTTGACTTTCATAGGTTTAATCCCTTTAAACAAATGTAATTAGTTTTACCCCCTTATCTTGAGTCTGTCTATGGGTTTTAGAAAGTTTTCTTTGAAGGTAAACAGGCTTAATTTAAGAGGCTAAAGCTTTTCGTAATTGCCAGAGCCTTTCAGTCTCAGATTGCAACATTGTGACACATGACATGCCTGAGGCAGCTTAAAGAAAAAAAAACGGAGTTTATGTGTTTCTTTATTTTATGAGCCTTTCTTGCTTTGCACTTGATTCCTGTCTGTAATGGTACAGGGAAGGGATTTAGGGGAGGGGGTGGATTCTTACTACACTATGGAAGGAGAGCTCAGAAGAGAGAGAGGAAGAAGGGCCAACTAGCTAGCTCAGAGGTCTACAAACTTAAACACTTTAAGAGCTGTGGACTTCAACTCCCAGAATTCATCAACTAGCCATGATGGCTGAGAAATTCTGGGAGTTGAAGACCACAAGTCTTAAAAGTGCCAAGTTTGAAGACCCCTGAGCTAGCTGGTAGTGGTGCATATTAATAAACATGGATAAATTCATCATACATTTGTCAGTGCAAAGGGAAAGTAATTCAGCAAAGGAACAAACACCGAAGAAATTAAAACTGGTACTTTTTTCCTTTTTTTCTACAGTTTGCAATATTTTATTAGATTATAGAATAAAATACAAAAATACAAAAGCAAACAGTAGGGCACAGTGGGGAGGAAAAAGGGGGGAAAAGTGAGGGGGAGAAGGGAAAAGGAACAGACTTCCTGTGTTGCAGTAGAAGGAACATTAACATTGAACCTCAACTTTTTACTTTTCCATAATATTATAAACTAGCCATTTCTATAACAACAAATCAATCTAATCAGTAAAACCCAAAATCCCTCCCCACTTTTTTAAGCATCAAGTTTTTGACACGTTGCTAAGCACTGGTGGTACTCAAATATTGTCATGTCCTAAAAGTGGTACAATCTGTGAATAGGTTGAAACGCCCTGGTCTAAGCTAGGGACCAAACAGGAAGACAGGATATAGGAGAAGATAGATTGAGGCAAGTTGGGAGAGCATGAATTCCAAACTAATCATTTACTTAAATATATTTATTTAAATCAACTAGTTAACAAATCTATGTCAGTTCACTCTAGTCAGAATAGCATATTAGAACTAAGACTATACTATATCCACAAACACTAATTGAAAGTACTTTTTGTTTCTTTTCCAGGGTATTCCTGGTCTAAAAGGAGAAAAGGTAAGGTAGTTTTACACATTCAGAAAACTTTGGGAAGTGTGCTTTATAATTGGAATGCTTTATTTACTATAATTCCGCATCTCAAGGAGAGCCCTGAGCAATGGGTTCCCTGTCACCTTTCCTGGAAATGGAAGCAAAGGGCCTTCGCCTGCATGCAGAACCTGCAATCCTAGGTTGGGCTGAAACAAGCTCCTGGAATGCAGGAAACCCCTGCCACTAGGACAGTGCAATGGTTTGGATTGGGAAGCAGAAATATATTCTCTACACAACTCTTCCAACCCAAAGCAGGTTTTTCTGGGTTGGGCTATCACTGGGTTGCACTATAGGCCTCCTCGGAAAAGAGGTAGCTACTGAAGGAGTGACAGACAGGTGCTTTGAGGATTCCCCCCACATGCCTGAAGCACTTTTGGTTTACATATTGGAGGCATCGTTCAGTCCTAATCACTAGCAAATAAGCAGTGCTCTTCTGTTTTACCAAAATTCTCTTAGTCAAACTGCAGTTGTGTTTTGATTTTAATATTGTCTGGCTGATTGCTGGGATGTTATTTATGTTATCATTTGTGACTTTCTTATTGTAAGCCATCTTGGTAAAATTTCTAGCCCTAAATAATTTCTTTTTCACCCAACTGGCCAGGCAGGGCTTAACATTGCAACTAAAGTCTTATCGTAGATATAGGAGTGGGGAAGACCTTTCATGTAATTTGCTCTAGGATAATATTTAGTGACACGGAATTATTTCACTCTATCCCAAATAATTTCTTAACTAGCTGCCATACTGTTGTGGCTGTTTTTAAAGGAAGCAGGGCTTGATTCATCTTGTTTTCTTATATCCTTTATAGGGAGAGTTTGGAGCAGATGGACGAAAGGTAAGGTTTGACAGAGGAACATAAGACATTATTTCAGTGTTCGTCTTATGGAAAAAGCTGTCTCTAATGCTTTTGGTCTTGATTTCAGGGAGCTAGTGGTATTGCTGGAAGAAATGGCACTGTTGGACAGAAGGTAATGTCAGCACTATAGCACTATAATGTCAATCTTTTGTTTACATTGATAAAATGCCTTTTTGAAGGAAAATGAGCTCCCTAAATATAGGCTTTAATTAGCAATCTAAAATAGGAGAGTGGCCCAGACAGATCATTAGTTTTCCCTTTCATTTTGTAACTGCATTTGTTGGCAAGTTCTTCTGTCTCATTCGTGAAGTACTCTAATAGCCACATCCTCATTTCATTTGATGTAATTGGGGGAAAATAACTACGGTATTTAATTTACAGAAAGAGTCATTTGACCTGTCTGTTGTGTATTGATCCTGAATAGTTGAGATTCATCTAAAATTAGTGGAGCCCCTATGAGTTATCTCACCTTATCACCCACAACTTCCTTAGTCTTGAGTTATTGCTCTTCTCTTGGCATTTGGCCTGTAATCATTTGCAGCTACTTTAAATCGAAGTAGGACAATTCATGGAAAACAGGCCTCAGACAACTCCCCACCCTTACTTTTTGCAGCTCACCAGGATAACACCATTACATTCAGTGGAAAAATGACAAATTCTATTACAATGATTTTTTTTTAAAAAAAAAAACACCTTAAAAATGAATTAAGATTTAAAATTTTTAGATTTTATCCCTGGGAGGATGAAAAAAATAGAAATGATGATATAAGATCTCCTGCCATGGGCAGGAGGTTAGACTGGAAGACCTGCAAGGCCCCTTTTCAGCCCTTTGATTCTATTCTATTCATTCTGAAATGTAGCTCATCCCTCCTGGCTCAATCTCTCTCTTCTCAGTTCATTCACTAAAGAGGCTCTGAATTGCTGGGGCAGGGAGCTTAATCTTTAAGAAGAAATTTAAGTACCTTTGTAGTTTCTCCACCTCATCCCTGTTTAATGTTGCTCACAATCTCTCCTTTTATATCTAATGCTTTCAGGGCAAAATGGGGCGGATTGGACCTCCTGGCTGTAAGGGTGACTCAGGCGAAAGGGTAGGAGTGCTTTCTATACTATGGCAACTCTTTTTTCATATTCTTACAAAATGTATGCAAAGGAGATTATTATATTCAAAATGTCTTGGGAATTTTATGGATGATAAAAATATTCACTTTTTCATAAAAACGTACCTTGAAAATAAATTAAATAAATGTCATTGGTTTGTTTATCAATAAAACAAATGAAAACCTGAAACAAGAAGGTGACTTTTATTTACCGTATTTTCCGGCGTATAAGACGACTTTCTAAACCCTGAAAATCTTCTCAAAAGTCGGGGGTCGTCTTATACACCCAGTCGTCTTATACGCCGGAAAATACGGGTATTCAGGCAGGCTTCCAGAATTCGGCTGGCAGGATGCAGGTATTCCCTCCCCCCGTCCTGCCGCCTCGCACCGCGCCGCTCCGTGTCCCGCGCCTCCGTGTCTCAAGCCTCTGTGGCACAGAACTGCTGGCGTTATGCTTGGGCGGAAGACTTTTTCTTTTACAGATGGGGCGGGTGGGCCTGACATTCGCGCGCAGGCAGGACCCCGCCCGCCGAGCCACCGCTTCCCCATCGCCCTCCACGCCAGCCGGCTCCGTCTCCAGACCTCCCAGCTGATGGGCACAGGTCTGGGGGTCGCCAGCTGACGGGCGCAGGAGTTCGGCGCTGCAGCGGCCTCCCCTTCGCCCTCTGCACCGGCCAAAGCGTTGCCTGATGTTCCAGCTGACGGGCGCAGGTCCGGGGGTCACCAGCTGATGGGCGCAGGAGGTAGGCGCCGCTGCGGCCTCCCAGCTGCTTGCTTCTTCGGCCCTAACCCTTGCAACTGCTCCAGCTGAAGAAGCAAGCGGCTGGGAGGCCACGGCGGCGCCTACCTCCTGCGCCCGTCAGCTGGTGACCCCCAGACCTGCGCCCATCAGCTGGAACGTCAGGCAACGGTTTGGCCAGTGCGGAGGGCGAAGGGGAGGCCGCTGCAGTGCCGAACTCCTGCGCCCGTCAGCTGGCGACCCCCGGACCTGCGCCCGTCAGCTGAGAGGTCTGGAGACGGAGACGGCTGGCGTGGAGGGCGATGGGGAAGCGGTGGCTCGGCAGGCGGGGTCCTGCCTGCGCGCGAATGTCAGGCCCACCCGCCCCATCTGTAAAAGAAAAAGTCTTCCGCCCAAGCATAACCTTTAAGGATTTTAAGGATCTTTGAGAGGGAGAGAGAAATAGAGGGAGAGAAAGAGGGAAAGAGAAATAGAGAGAGGGAGAGAGAGAAAGAGGAGAGGGAGAAAGGGAGAGAGAAAGAGG